TTTTCCCGGTCTGACGCCAGCTCTCTCTCCTTTCGTGGGGAGGAAGGAGAGGGGGGGACGGGCCGGAAAGCCCCTCGTCGCTCCTGCCGAATCGGAGGTCGCGGCCGCAGGTCACGGGTCTGGGCGCCTGGGGTCCGGCTCCCCCCAACACCCACCCGGCTTCCTCCGCGGAGGAACCCCCGGGCACCGAAGCCGCTGGGGGAGACCCCAGGCATGGGGCGGACTGGCCCGGACCCTCCCGGCCCCCTTTGCGCCCGGCCGCCGGCCTGCAGGACCGCCCCGAATTCCCCCGCGGCCACCCAGGCGAGGCCTGGCCTGGCGGGACGGACGGCGGTTGTCCAGCGCCCAGTGGCTTCCTCCAGCGGGGACCCACGGCCCCCAAAGCTGCAGAGGGAGACCCCGGGCCATGGACGGACTTGCTCGGACTCGCTCGGATCCCCTGCGCCCAGCCGCCGGCTCACGGGACCGCCCCGAATCCCCCCCCGCGGCCACCATAGGCGAGGCCTGGCCTGGCGGGCCAGGCGGGCCGGTGTGCAGCTCCCCCGGGCTTCCTCCCCCGACGACCCGCGCCCCCCTGAGCCGCAGGCGGAGACCCCGGCCCCGGGGCGGACCGGCCCGGGCTCGCCCGAGCCCCCTGCGCCCGGCCCGCAGGACCACCCCCAAATCCTCCGGAGGCCAGGAAGGAGAGGCCCAGCCTGCACACCACTGAGGACCCGCGGCCCCCAAAGTCGCAGGAGGCGCCCCCGGCCCCGGGGCCGGTTAGCCCTGTGTCGCTCCGCGCCCCCCGACCCCCGCCCCTCGCTGCCGGGACCGGGCACCGCCCCAGAGTCAGCCGCAGCCGGCCGGGCGGCCGGCCTGAGAGCTGCCCTCCTGTGGACAACGGTGAGTTTACCTTGATACTAACTGGCTATCAGCCAGGTCAACCCCGTTGCTAGACTGGGGTGGACCTGGTGGCTGAGTGGGGACTTTGAACATTTTACAGCCGCTCCCCGGGGCTTGACCGGTTGTCTATTAAGCCTCCCCCGGACCTGCTCCGTCTCAACTATTAAGCCCCCCCTCTGTGGTGCTCAGGACCACTGCTGCGCTGCCCTCGGAGTGGGGTGACTCCCAGGCCGGAAAGCAAACCGGCCGCCAGGTCAACCCATTAGATTCAGCGGGTTGACCTGGTGGCCGAACAGGGACTTTGAACATTTGACAGCCGCCTCCCAGGGCTTGACCTGTTGTCCCGGTGGGGACTTTGAAAATTTGACAGCTGCTTCCCGAGGGTTGACCTGTTGTCCTGAACGCCCCCCACCCCCGGCTCCTGCTCCCCACTCCCCAGCCTCGGTGCTCCGCTCCCTGCCTCGGAGGCTGCCTCTCTGCGGCGGCTGCATCGCGTCCGAGGATGCTCACCCTCCGGAGTCTGGATGTAAAGCCTGACACCCACCACCGCCGCCGACCCGGCTCTCCGAGGGACAACTGTGAGGCCTCCCCCCACCCCCGGACCTCCCTGGGGACGACTGCTAAGCCTCCCACACACACACACACTGTCGGGGGATGACTATTAAGCCTCTCCCGGACTGCCTGGGGGACGACTATTAAGCCTCCCCCGGACCTGCTCCGTTTCGACTATTAAGCCCCCCTCTGTGGTCCTCAAGACCACTGCCGTGCTGCCCTCGGAGTGGGGTGACACCCGGGCCGGAAAGCAAACCGGCCACCAGGTCAACCCAGTAGATTCAGTGGGTTGACCTGGTGGCCTTAAAGCACGACTATTAAGCCTGCCCCCTGGAGCGCTCGGGGGACGACTATTAAGCCTCCCCCGGACCTGCTCCGTCTCGGCCATTAAGCCCCCCCTCTGTGGTCCTCAGGACCAGTGCCCCCGGCTCAAGTCCCGTCCGGCCACCAGGTCAACCCAGGGCCCCGGAGAGGGGAGAGGAAAGGAGGTGGCCAGGCCACACAGCAAACCGGCCACCAGGTCAACCCAAGGAATCCGATGGGTTGACCTGATGTTCCCCGAGGGAAAAGGGGGTGGCCGGACCCTCCTCCGCCGAGGGTCACCCTGCCCCGGGCTCAAAGTCCCTTCCGGCCACCAGGTCAATCCAGGGCTCCGGAGAGGGGAGAGGAAAGGAGGTGGCTGGACCCTCCTCTGGCGAGGGTCGCCCTGCCCACCTCCTCCGGCGGCCGGACCCTCCTCTGGCGAGGGTCGCCCTGCCCGCCATCCCCCGGGGAGGGAAGCACCACCCCGCACCCCATAGCCAGGGCTGGTGGCTTTCCCTTCCTGCCGGAGGGCCCCCCTTGGAGTGGAGGGTTGGGAGAAGAGACAAAGTCTTGTGTCAAAGGCTGACTTTCAATAGATCGCAGCGAGGTAGCTGCTCTGCTACGCACGAAACCCTGACCCAGAATCAGGTCGTCTACGAATGATTTAGCACCAGGTTCCCCACGAACATGCGGTGCCCAACGGGTGAGAGGCGGCTCCCTTCTGTCCGCACTCCGGTCCCGACACGAATGGCTCTCCTCACCGAGCCCTCCCCCGGAGGGCGGGGCCGGCTATCCGGGGCCAACCGAGGCTCCACGGCACTGCCGTATCGTTACGTTTAGGGGGGATTCTGACTTAGAGGCGTTCAGTCATAATCCCACAGATGGTAGCTTCGCCCCATTGGCTCCTCAGCCAAGCACATACATCAAATGTCTGAACCTGCGGTTCCTCTCGTACTGAGCAGGATTACTATTGCAACAACACATCATCAGTAGGGTAAAACTAACCTGTCTCATGACGGTCTAAACCCAGCTCACGTTCCCTATTAGTGGGTGAACAATCCACTTTCAGCCGTACTACCACCTACCGGATTATTCCCCATTTTGCATTTGTGCATTTGATTTTTCCTTCTAAGTGTAGTACTTAACACTTGTCTGTACTGAATTTCATCTTACTGATTCTCTAGTTTATCGTGTTGAATTCCAATCCTGTCCTCCAAAGTGCTTGCAATCCCTCCCAGACTTGTGTCATCCTCAAATTTTATAAGCATACTCTCCACTTCATCATCTGAGTTGTTAATTAAAATATTGAATAGTACCATATCCAGTACAAACTCCTGTGGTTTACTCTTTGAGTATGGATTTTCAAGCATTTGTGCATCTACCTTGTAGTAATTTCATCTAGACCACATTTCCCTAGTTTGCTTATGAGACTGTCATGAGGGACTGTGTGAAAGGCCTTACTAAGGTCAAGTATATCACATTCTACTGCTTCTTCCCATCATTAGGCCAGTAACCCTGTCAAAGAAGGAAATTAAATTGGTTTGGCATGATTTGTTCTTGACAGACCCATGCTGGCTATTACTTGCCACCTTATTATCCTCTAGGTGCTTACAAACAGATTGTTTAATAATTTGTTCCAGCATCTTTCCAGATACTGGAATTACACTGACTCACCTATGCTATACTCTGGGATTGTTCCTACAATTCCTGAAGACAGAAGATTTAACAAAATGCTCATCTCCAAGTGAAATTTGGAGGATCCCTTTCTGACCAGGCATTCCCGTCAAAAACCGAACACCTGGCAACCCTAAGCAAGACACCAGGGAAAGACGTGCTCCCTCATAGCCTAGTGATTGGGATACTCATGTGGGATGAGAGATAGACTTGTTTAAGTCCCTCCATCTGTAGAGACTTGCCACATTTCAAAGTGCGTTAACCACTGGGCTATGGGATAGTTTGAGGTGGGCTCCCTCACTGTCTCCTCTTGAAGCCATTGGAGCAGGGAGACTGGATCCTGGCTTCCCCACTTCCTAGAGATGGGCTCTAGCTACCGGGCTACAGAGTCATTGGGCCAAAGATGGAGCAAGCACAGGAAAGACTCTGTAGCGTGGTGGTTAGCGCCCTCCCCGGGTGGTGGGAAACCGAGCAGCCAGTCCCCTTGCTCCAATGCCATTTTAAAAATTATTTCTCCATGGTGCAACAGCTTCAACAGGAGAGACAGAGGAAACTCCAGATCAGAATGTTTTGCAGCCCAGGTTAGGGCACACAACTAAGAAGTAGCAGAGCCCCTTTCAAACTCCTCAGATAAAGGGGGGACTTGAACCTAGTGTCATCTTCATTCCAGGTAAGTACACTAACAACTGGGTTGAAAGTTATGAGGGAAGTCCTCTTTTCCCACACTGTTTTCTGTGAGATCACCCATGGGGCCCGGATCCAGTAGGCGAGTTCTGAGAACACCTGCCAGATTGAGCCCTGCAGGTGAGTTAGGCAGCCAAACACTTAGCTTCCTCTGGTTCATGCATTGCTCTAAAGCTTAGGTATCCAGACTCCTGGTGCAGGGCACCAGTGTGCATGCACAGAAGCAGGAACATAGGCACATAGTCAATTTCACTGCAAAAATTTAGGCACTGAGAGCGTTCAAGCACCTAGAGGGCTAGTTGGCAGCTGAGTGGGGGCTTTGTGAATCCCAGTGGGGCCTGATTCTAGGATTTAGGCCCCTAAAGTGGCAGTTAGGAGCCTATGTCCTTTTATGAATCCAACCCTTAGTGTGGAAACCAACTGATCGTGAACTCCCAATAATAATACAATAGGGTTACCATATTTCAGCAAGCAAAAAAGAGGACGGGAGGAGCCCCGCCCCTGTCCTGCCCCTGTCCTGCCCCTGCCCGCCCACTTCCCACCCCCCTCAGAACCCCCAACCCTCCCCCCCGCTCCTTGTCCCCTGACTGCCCCCTCCTGGGACCCCTGCCCCTAAATGCCCCCCCAAGACTTCACCCCCTACCTAAGCCTCCCTGCCTCTTGTCCCCTGATT